GCAATCTGCACAAGAGGTTGAGATAGACTGATCATTTACAGTCTGAAACATCATTTAGGGAAAATTCAACCAACTAGTACAAAAATACACTCTTTACCAAATGATTTACAACTTCTTGAAATAAATCAATAATCATTAATGATTTGTAAGAGAGAGCAAACTAGATTCCAGCGTAGAAAGAAATCAGGTAGAAACGCTAGAAGTGGTTAGCGCACTCATTGAGAAAAGCACCTAATTACGTCCCACATGGAATCCTCAAGATCAAAGCAAAACAGGAAGACCAAGAAACACATGATACCGAGTAATGGAGACCGGCATGATTAGAATGAACAACAATTGGACAGAATTAGAAAGACAGGCCTAGGACAGTGTTGGTTGGTTGGAGAATGCTGGTCGACGGCCTGCGCTCCAGTGGGGAAACACGTGTAAGTACTGGTCAATTTTATGATCATCCTAAATATCAATGTCACGTGCTCAAATGTTGTTTATTATTGGTTGTCTTGACTATCAATGTCACTTCAAAAGTTACTTCCTATTGGTCGTCTTAACTGTCAATGTCACAGAATTCGATACTGTTGCCTGTTCGACCAAAATGTATAAATACGCATTATCTGTAACGTTTTGTGACCAGGACACAGACCCAGATTCCTAGTCCGGTATCCTGATTCTCTTCTAGATTCGGACCTCGTAATTTCTGGATGCTTGTAGAATACATGTTCTACTTCATATCAAGTCTTCTTATTTTTAACTCAATATGGGGGGCTGGGATAATTGGATTTGAGTTGCATGTCGTGTCACCTGATTCTCGATCCTCGCTCTCGTTTTCCGACTAAGGTAAACTCGTTCAAGTATATCAAGTTGACGTGTTTACATGCAGGCGTAACAGTAAGTAAGTAAGTAGTATAATTATTGACTTATTTCAATAAATATTACTTACCATTTTGTCTTTATTATTTTTCGTAAAACTGTTATGATTATTATTATCAGAAATATCATTTTGCTTATTGACAACATCATTATCATCGTCATGATTATTCGTGTTCATCAAAAATTGATTACGTAAACAATTTAAAAAGATGCATCGATCCGATGTGTTTGTACAAATGGTGTTCAATAATTCAATAGTTTTATTCATGAATTCTTTTTGGCGCGTTTTCTCTTTCATACTGAATGGTTGTTGCGATTGTTTCTTGTCAAATTGATTCTCATTGATCAATGTTCCAATATTGGATGATATGATTTGATTTGTTTGTTTAAGTGTATTGATGAAAAATTCAAATTGTTCAATTTGACTTGTTAATAATTTGGTTTGACTTAAATTATCTTCTGTTTGTACTTTGATTTGTACCTGTAATGTATATGATATGACAATGCCATTACATAAAGGGATAGAAACAGAGACAGTGAGAGAGACATGCAAGCAAAAAAATATTGGTTCTTAGATGATCTGGCTCTTTTATCACACACGCGACAACAAATGTAAGAGAAGACGACCAGTGTAGCAGCAACCTCGGCAGCAACAGTAGCAGGAGGTCTCAACATACATAAAGGGAAAAGTAAAATTCTCCGATACAACACAACATGCGCCAACCAAATCACCATCGATGGAGATGTCTTTGAGGACGTAAAAATCCGATCCGATGCAGATGTGATGAGGGCGCGGATCGGCGAAGTAAGGGCTGCATTTCTACCATTGAAAAATATCTGGAACTTCGAAAAAAATGTCAATCAACATCAGAATCAGGATTTTCAATACAAATGTCAAGACAGAGTTCTACTGTATGGAGCGGAAACTTGGAGAACTACGAAAGACATCATCCAGAAGATATAAGTATTCATTAACAGTTGTCTACGCAAAATACTAGGATCCTTTGACCAGACACCATCAGCAGCAACCTACTGTAGGAGAAAACAAACCAGATTCCAATGGATGAGGAAATCAGGAAGAAGCGGTCGAGGTGGATAGGACACACGCTGCGAAAAGGACGCAGCTGTCTCACAAGACAGGCTGTCACTTGCAGCCCTCAAGATCAAAGAAAAAGAGTGAGGCCAAGGAACACATTACGCCGAGAAATAGAGAAAGACATGAAAAGAATGAACAAAAATTAGACAGAACTGGAAAGAAAGGCCCAGGACAGAGTTCGTTGGTTGGAAAGTGCTGGTCGGCGGCATATGCTTGATTTGGGGTAACAAGAGCAAGTAAAAAAACAAAATAGAGTATAATACTTTTGATTATATTCTTGGTTAACCAACAAGCCTGCTGCACATGCACGCCGCCGCTTTGTAAGCAACACAAGAATTCTCACAAAAACCGATTATGCGATCACCCCTGCCCCATACGAGAACGCACATGTTGTCTAGATTGGTTTGCAGACAAGTGGACATCCAAAAAGCACGCACATGAGCAGTGGCCCTCGTTTGGGCACTTATGACACAACCCGATTCCTCCAACCAATCCACGAACCACAATTCCCAATCGGCAAGGATGTCAAGGCGGGTTTTCCCAGCTAGACTTGGCACTCAGAACGGATTACCGAGCCACCCAGCAGCCGTTCCAAACGTCTGGCCTCCAACTGCCTTGTGCTGATACAATCGACCGGAGCCCCCAAACTCCACATGAAGCTAAAGATCGAATTGATCCCCCAAGGTCAGCCGGAACGTACACCCTCCCATAGGGAAGATGTCATGGACTCAACCAAGTGCAAGCACCCGGCCAAGCTGGGTTAATCCCACTACATAAGTAGGCAGACATCTTTTGCGATAAAGTACCCTTTCAGCACCGGATCACATAACCCAAATGGAGACCCTTGTTTAAGGGGCCTCGACGCCAGTAAAAAACACAATACTTTTGAAGAGAGGAAAAGTGCAAACAAACGAAAGTACCTTAATCCAACTTACTTCAGAATTTGTTACACAACGTATCATATTTTCCATATAAATAACATCAGCTAAATGTGGCTTTAACATGGCTTCAAATTGTTTTAATTTATTTTCCGTAATTAATTGGCGCTCTTTTTCAATTGATTCAATATTACCCACGGATTCTTCTTCAAACAATTGAATTGTTTTAGTCAACTGATTTAATTGAGCAGAGTATTTTTTAGCTTCAGCAGTTGCGAAATTACCTCCATCAGTAAAAAGCCTGTCGGTTGTGTAATAATTACGATAATAATAATAATAATTTTCATTGTAAGGTTGTCGAGATTATTGAGTTTTATTGAAGTCATGAAGAGATCAATGTCAGACTGCCATTAGAAACTTGGAAGCACTGAATTGGTTGCAGTTAGCCATGAAGACGACCATTGGATACTGGCTCAATGGTTTAGAGATTAAGAGCTGGGGCGCGCGAGACGGAAGGTCTTGGGTTTAATTTCCTGGTGTGAAGGATCATGGATACACACACTGTTGATGAGTCAGTCCCATACTAGGACAAGATGGCCGTCCAATGCTTCCAGGATTCTGATGGTAGTCTAACACAAATCAGTTCATGATTTTAATCAATAATAATAATTATGATGGAGATGGTGTGGTGTGAGCTACTTATAAGTAGTATATGACGTGAGTGTAAACGTAATGTCTGGCAGCAGAAGATGTGGGAGAAGATCAAGAAAGGAAGAGTTAGAAGAACACAATGGAATTTGTATGAAATGCATGAATAGTGAGAATTAATTGATGTTTTGCAACAGAAACAGTCCAGTTCGATATGATGGAATGATAATTTGCAAATGAACGATTTACGATATGGTTTTCCAATTTTACTGAGTAACTCTGTAATTTTCGTTAAATACATTCGGTTGCCCCAACTGTGTTCTCCTTCACTAAAATAGGACTAATAATCTAATCAAGACATATCAGGAACTATTCTTAACTAGACCGATCATTACAAACCCAAGAGTATTGAAAGATTATCTCATGCCAGAACAGAACACTTACAATATTGCTAGGTGATTTCAACAGTGAATATCATTATTGAAATTACTAATTCTGTTGCGTTCTTCTACCTTGTTATGTCTATGTCTATTGATCGAGTCACTGTGAATTTGTGTACGGGCATAATCGAAATAGGTACTATCATAAGTGCTCATTCTCTTGAACCTTTGACCCAAAGTCAATTTACGAATTAGTAAGGCAACGTTAAGAAATGCAGTCCGATGGTAGCCACTCACTAACAATAGGTTTCTACACTAATGTGTCCTCCGAAGATTACTGATTAATCGAGAGCCTTGAAGCTCATATTTCATGTACGGTGATAGTTTTTGTTGGGGATGTTAGATCCCCAAAACTCGCTTGATAAATGCCTTATTTTGGATTTCACATTTGCCAGCATGGGCTGATCGGTTGACCTTGAAATTTCATTGCCCACCTGGAAAATCCTTTGCTGTGTGATAGGGAAGCCCAGGACAGAGTTAATAAACACTTGTATCTTGTGGATGATGCCTTTCGTAGTTCTCCAAGTTTCCGCTCCATACAGTAGAACTGTCTCGACATTTGTATTGATTGTCTGCACAAAATTCTTCGTATTCGTTGGCCAGACACCATCAGCAACAAACTACTGTGGTAGGGAACAAACCAGATTCCAGTGGAGGAGGAAATCAGGAAGAAGCGGTGGAAGTGGATAGGACACACACTGCGAAAAGCACCTAACTGCGTCATAAGACAAGCCCTCACATGGAACCCTCAAGGTCAAGGGAAAAGAGGAAGACCAAGGAAAACATTAACCCGAGAAATAGAGAAAGACATTTGAAAAATGAATAGAAACTGGAAAGAACTAGAAAGGGGAGCCTAGGACATAGTTTGTTGGAGAAAACTGGTGGGGGGCTTATGCTCTATTGGGGGTAACAGACGTAAGTAAGTAAGTAAGTAAGTAATTCTTGCAGACGGTTTATGCCTCACGATGGGTATATGCATATATTGGTAAATGGTGAATTTTCAAATATTTTTTCCTTAATATCATAACAATAATACGAATATTAAATAATAATAATAAATTTAAATCTTACTCTAATGATTCAATTAATTTTAAATTAGAATTATTCACAGTTTGTATTTGATTTTCAATATCTTGTCGAAATAATTTCAATGCTTGACGTACACGTTCCGTGTGGGAATTAGCCAAATGTTCAACACGTTTACGTAATAATAGGAGTCTTGATGAAATTGACATCAGAAAGAGAGAGAGAGAGCAAGGAGAAATTACTGAACATTGATTCAATGAACTTTATTATAGTTATTAAAACATAAAAACATTTTAATTGAATTTAAAAAAAAATCATATTACGAGGATACATTAAGCGTTGAAAAAAAGGTTTTTGAACTTGTGTTATACCACATGGTGAGAGCTACTTATAAGTAGTATATGACGTGAGTGTCAACGTAATGTCTGACAGCAGAAGATGGGGGAAGATCAAGAAACGAAGAGTTAGAAAACAATGGAATTTGTATGAAATGCATGAATAGTGACAATGGATTGATGTTTTGCAACAGGAATAGTCCAGTTCGATATGATGGATTGATATTTTGCAATTGAACGATTTACGATACGGTTTTCCGATTTTACTGAGTAACTCTGTAATTTGCCCCACCTCCGTTCTCGTTCACTACAATACCATTTGGTGCCCGACAGTCGAGATTGACATGGATTGTTTGTATACTTAAGTCTGGCATATTGAGAAAAGAGGTAAAGAGTTGTGGGAATTGTTTTGACACGTTTAAATCATGAATCAGTCACTGTTAGACCACTATTAGAAACCTGGAAGCACTGGACAACTGTCTCAATATAGCAGTGCTCATCCACGACCTTCAGCACCCGGGAATCGAGCCTAGGACCTTTGATCTTGCGCGCAAACGCCTGACCCTTGGACCATTGAGCTGGAATCTATTGGTGTTAGTGACTAATTCTGATCAATCTAAGGTTTATACGCAACCTGACCCAATAGTCTTCAGGAGTTATTGCCTGCACACGATAGGGCTGAACTCCATTAGTCACGTTTTTTCACTAGTACTCCGAGAATTTCCTTAAGAAACTAGTCATGAATGATCTATGGTTTCAGTACTAAACAACAATCTCCTTAAAACTGGTTAGTATTATAGTTTGATAGATAAATGATTGAATAATAAAAACTCTTGTACATTCATAATATAGGCGGTTCTCAGCACGGATTATTTCAACTAATTTGCTTTGCAAAACAATATTAGTGATCGGCAGTTGGAAGTGAGCAGTGCTCATCAATCAACATTTTATTACTGTTCATCCGTTTTTTCAACAAACTGCCAACCACCGAGACGTTTCGGTTCGTACTACTTTGTACCTCTTGATACGATAAGTCGTATAAAACTTTTATCTACATACCTGAATAGATTCGGCGATTAACAGACATAATTAACGTGCTAAAATAACTAGAAAAATGTCATTTGTTAAAATATTTCGATGTCAGGTGACGTCAATAATATTAAAACAGGCCGCCTAATATCGACTGCAATTATTATTAGGTAACGATGGCAGATCAATAGATGAAGTGGCGAAACTTCATCAGTTGAGGTGGTTGGGATATGTGTTACGTATGGCTAATCACCGACTGCCTCGACGAGCTTTGTTTTGTAGTGTAGGAGTAGGTTGGAAGAAAGTTAGGGGCGGCCAGACCAAAATATGGCACAAATCCATGAAGTTGGACTGACTCATGTTGGTAGATGTAGGCTACCTGGTTGGGGTCCGCAAGACGAAAGTCACCAATGGTTCAAAATCGTTCGCAATGGCACAAGTGTGTCCATTCTTTGTATTCTCTCAAATCCTAATCTTCTGAATTCCTCATCATCTCTATCTTTCTCTCTCTAAATTTATCTCACTGAATTATACTTATTGAATAATATCTTCAAACCCTAGTCTTCTTCATTACCATTAATACCTCTACTATCTTTATCAGTATGGGATTTGATTTGACATTTGTGTCTCTGTGTTAATGTGGCATGGCAACATGAACTTATGTACATACGTACGTAGTTCTACGTTGCAACTGACTGATTATTAGCTTCAACTATCCTACTTAAAGAATCATCATAAACCATTGAAAATTCAGTAAAAAAAATTAAATTTGTTATACTGAATCATATTTGAATTTTACAAATTTACCGCTACTTCATTGAATGTACCTTTCTTTGAATTTCGATACTCTTTTTTTACACATTTGAAATCATCAATCAATCATTGTTTCGTTTCGTCCTAGTATGGGACTTCTCAGCACAGCGCATCCACGACTCCTGCTCCTCACAGGATTCGAACCCGGGACCTTTGGCATTGTAGGCGAACGCCTTACCATCGGACCACTAGGTCGGCGGCATCCAACGGTGTTAATGTCTAACTCTTTTTTTTTCATCAAAACAAAAACACGCACAAATCAATTCGAATCGTTAGTTAGTTACTTAGTTACTTACATTGAAGATTTCGTGGCTTTATTCAATGTTGAATTGATTGCGTTTTGAATTGCCGCATTCATTTGTTCTTCCGACTTATTCAATGTTTCAGTTAGTGTTTTCAGCGAATTACTTTTCATTTCATTCAATATTAAATTGACTGATGTGATATGTCGTTCAATTCGGGTTTGATGTAGGGCTAATTCAGTTAATCGTACATTTGCTACATCCTATAGAAATATGTAAAAAAATGAATTTTTGTTTAAAATGACAATGTGATGTGGTAATTTCAACATGGTGATCTAATAATGAGTGATTGATTGATTTCAATGTGTAAAGAACAGTAATCTCCATAATTGTAATTTTAAAAAAATCGTACAATGTTCTCACCAGTGACAAGTTTCGTGAGCGAATCCTCCGAGTTCCAGTGAGAAGATGTGACCAGTGGAGTTCAACCCTTTCGGGCGTAGATGGTAACTAACGAAGTCAAATGGGTCAGGTCGCGCAAAAGCTCTAGAGTTATACATTATCTCTGTTCGACGTCGTTTCAGTGGTCAGGAGGTTAGGTGTAGAAGTGTAGAAGTCATGGATGAGCACTGTCAGTGATGAGTAGTCCCATACCAGGACGATACGGTCCTCCAGTGCTTCTAGGTTTCTAATGGTGGTCTAACAATGATCGGTTAATAATTTCAATGTGTAAACTCTTACTTATATGCCAGATTACACCTAATCTGCAGATACATTTACATTATCAATACAGGCGGGTTATTGATTACAGTCTTTCATACGTCTTCTGGTCTTCAATACCCTCTAATTATGCCAAATATTTCAATCTCTTGACACTCTACTATCTGGTAACAATGTTTAGGCGATGCATCATTGAATACTACTTAAATGCCACCTTGTGAGTAGTAGCATGCATCGTACTAAGTTTATATTATGCTCTGGTCAACGTGAGCCTCTGTTTAACCCTATATATTTTTCACTCTATATCCTGTTCACAGTCAGTTTTAGCTTGTGCACGTATAACTATAGTTTTCTCCACTTTTCGAGGTGCAACCTAGTCCTGGTATGTTTGAATCTAAACCTACGTATGCTTGAAAAACATCATAACAACAACAGAAGCCAGCTGCGAACTTCACTTTTGAGTTCAAGGTAAGCGGTAGAGAAGAGCTTATAGATAGCGAACCAATATGAGGTTATCTTGTATTGGCTCAAGGTTAAATCAGTGTGGTTGGTCAAGTCTAGGATGGTAGTTTATAAACGGAATAGTAGACAAGATATGGAGAAATTTATAAACGGGATTCCCATTCGGTAAAGTTACGGTTCTCAGTCATGGAATTCAGCGCCTCTGATCGTCGGTCAATAATACCATTATTAGCCTCAACCAAGTAGCCTACACTTACCTGCATAACTTAGACCGACAATTAATGAGTTAGTCGACTGATGAACCGTCTAGCTTCCCTCCAACCTACTCTTGTTTCAGTTAGTTTCGCTTGTCAAAATTAGCAGTAACTGAGCTCACATGAAAAATTCGCGACCTCACTTGCTAATAAAAATTTACTAGATCATCAGTTGGTTTGCTGTCTTCACCTGAATCTAACTAATTTCAGCAGTGTTCATTTGGTGTACTCGACAAACGTGATCAATCCCACAAAAATGTCCCAATTACTAATAAGCTGCTACTACTCTCTTTCAGTATCAAACATTATATCTGTTGGATACCTTAGATCCTCAGAACTCACTTGGAAAAGTTCCTAATTTCGGAGGTTTTATGTTTTCACGCATAACTTGCTTACTTGATCTTCAGCTTACCATTTCCCACCTGGAAATCCTTGATTGTCATTGATTGACGGATTATTTCAGTAAGCTATTTTTGTGGCTCTCCCAAAGACGTTTTCATCATTTATAAATAAGCCCTATTTGTGTGCTTGTCAACCTCATACTTCTAGAATCCACTTTCTACGCCTTATCACAACTTCTTGATATAGTTAGTCGGGCCCGGGGACAAACGGATTAGAATAGCCTATCGTGTCAGTGCATTATTTGTCTTCACTCTCGTTTACCAAGTAAGGTGAACTCATAATAGTTCCAAGCACATCGATTGACGAGCATATCAGCATTTAGTCAAAACAAAGCGAATTGCTGCTGATAGTCAGACAGACATCTTACAAGCGTCACGACTTGGTAAAATCCAATCAAGATTTCTAGTTTTCTGGTGAGAATTTGTTAAATACCAAATCAAAAGAACTAGTGAGTCATGAAAAGTAAATAAAGTGTTCCGTAAGCCCACCTGTTTCATTGTTTGTGATTGTTGAGTTGCATTCAAACCATGAATTGATCAATTTTAGACCACTATTAGAAACCTGAAAGCATTGGACGGCCGTTTCGTTCTATAACTGGACTCATTTGTAGTGCACATCCACGACCCCCAGCACGTGGGTCTCGAATCCAAGGCCTACAGACTTGCGCTTAAACGCCTAACCTCTGGACTACTGAGCAGTCAGCGTTAAATTCTAACAACGACAAATCCACAATTTTGCGCAACCTCATGCACTGTCTTCATTGAGCATTGCCTCACATCCGATAATTTTTGACTCCAATGATTATGGTGTAGTGAGTCATTCAATGTCTGGCTCACATGACTTGTCCCACTTGTCTTTTTGCCTTGTCACTTATTCGTCGTTTTTATTCATATTTGTGTATGCCTACTCGCTTACATGTCTGGCTTATTTTTGTCTGACTGTAAATTCCTACTCATGCTTTATCTCTTAGAGTTGGCTCACTAGCCTTCTCCACATCACTTCATCCGTTCATTCGCCTATTCACTAGCTTGCCTGCTTTCCGGCGCTCGCATGACGATTTTATCTTATAGCGCTTCTAGTCTGCTGTTCTATTTGTGGTGTATCAAAAATAAACATATTCAACACTTTGTGTTCACCTTCTGATTTATAAACTGTCAGACGCTAGTTAGTAACGATTGTCTGGACGAGCTCACCACGAAGATTAAAAACACGTCGAAATCGGCCACCACAATGGCTTCTCAAATGCGCGTACTAGTGACAGCTTCATGAAGAAGCTACTTCGAATTCTAGTATGATGTTTTGGCCAGTGTAGTTCAACTAAGTCGGATGTGAGACAGTTACTTACCGAAGACAATGTGTGAGGTTGTGCGATACCTTGAATTGATCGAAGTTACGCATTAACACCATTAGATGTTGGACCACTTGTCCAGAGGTTGGGCGTTCAGGTGCTAGACCGTAGGTCTTGGGTTCGAATCTTGTGACTAGGTCCTATACCGGGACGAAACGACCGTCTTTCAGTGCTTCTAGGTTTCTAATGGTGGTCTAACAATGATAAACAAATGACTTCAGTACTAAAAGCAACAATCTCTATAACTCTATAATGTAAAAACAAATTTATCATTTTATCACAGAATTTTAGTTAAAACAAGACTGGAATCATTTTTTCACTTTACTTTCAAAGTGGACTTACTTCTTTCACTCGACGAATGCGTGGTTCATGCAATTTGAGTTGCAATTGATATTCATTGTTTATTTCAGTTTTTCTAACAATCACTTCTTCTTTTGTAGTTAATATTGTTGTATTCTTCCACAATTCCAAATATTCTAATAGTTTCTATTAAGATATTAATAATAATAATAATAATAATAATAATAATAACCAAAAAATAAACTTGAATATCTCTTGTCACGGTAAAAATAATCGATATTACGAGCCAATCAGGAGTGGTCGAACGAGAAGGTCATTTGCTGACCATCCGAAATGTCTGAATGGACGATTTCACACTATTAGTCGATGAGTGGATTCACACTCTACATCAACTTCATCGACTACGAGAAAGCATTTGATAGCGTGGATAGGAAAACACTGTGGGGGCTTCTTCGACACTACGGTGTGCCTGAGAAAATAGTCAACATCATATGGAATTCTTATGATGGATTCAATTGCAAAATCGTGCACGGAGGTCAGCTGACAGACTCTTTCGAGGTGAAGACCGGTGTCAGGCAAGGTTGCTTATTCTCACCCTTTCTCTTTCTCCTGGTCATCCATCGACTGGATTATGAAGACGTCGACATCTGGAGGAAAGCACGATATCAACTGGACAGTTAGGACGCAGCTGGACGATCTGGACTTCGCAAATGACCTGGCTCTTATATCGCACACGCAACAACAAATGCAAGAGAAGACTAGCAGTGTTGCAGCAGTCTCTGCAGCAGTAGGTCTCAACATACATAAAAGGAAAAGCAAAATTCTCTGATGCAACACAACATGCACCAACCAAATCACTCTTGATGGAGATGTCTTGGAGGACGTTAACACCTTTACATATCTGGGCAGCATCATCGACAATCAAGGTGGATCGGATGCAGATGTAAGGGTGCGGATTGGCAAAGCGAGGGCTGCATTCCTACAGTTGAAAAATATCTGCAACTCCAAACAACTTTCAACCAAAACCAAAATCAGGATTTTCACTACAAATGTGAAGACAGTTCTACTGTATGGAGAGGAAACTTGGAGAACTACCAAAGACATCATCCAGAAGATACAAGTGTTTATGAACAGTTGTCTACGCAAAATACTTCGTATTCGTTGGCCAGACACCATCAGCAACAACGAACTGTGGGAGAGAACAAGTCAGATTCCAGTGGAGGAGGAAATCAGGAAGAAGCGGTGGAAGTGGATAGGACACACATTGCGGAAAGCACCGAACTGCGTCACGAGACAAGCCCTCACATGGAACCCTCAAGGTAAAAGGAAAAGAGGAAGGCCAAGGAACACACTACGCCGAGAAATAGAGAAAGAAATGAGAGGAATGAACAAACATTGGACAGAACTGGAGAGAGAAGCCCAGGACAGAGTTTATTGGAGAAAACTGGTGGGCGGCCTATACTCCATTGGGGGTAACAGGCGTAAGTAAGTAAGTAAGTGGATTCACCTTCTAAGGGGGTTAGATAAAAATATATATTATTCGGTAGACAAATAGACATCTTTACTGCTGTTCTCTCCTTCTCGCTCGAGTAGTCACTTTGGGGAGTCGGTGCATATCACGTTCAGATCTTGGACATTCGTACATCGTAATAAACATATTTTCACAGTCTTCGAACATTATTGTTTGAACATGTGTCTTAAACTACTGCCTGACATGGTAGAACCTACAGGAACATACGTTCCAGTCAATATATAACTCGGCTGGTTTATCAAGATAGGCAAGCCCGACCACCACTTGTCTAGGAAGCGGCTACTGTCGGAATATAAGTTGACAGATATATTTCTCGACTCAGTCGAATCACTCAAGACATTAGTTGCTCTGTTTTGATTATTTATGTGTTCGGTTCAAGCTGATAAGTGGACATCATATAGGAAAGACGTCCAGTTCATGAAATAATCAATCCAATCTTATTTTTGCTATTGAATGACTTTGTAATTGTTAACGTCAACTTGATATGCTTGAACTATAATACGAGTTTACCTTCGTCGGAAAACAAGGGCGAGGATCAAGGATCCGGTGACACGACAGGCTACTCTAATCCTAGCGTCCCAAACCCCATTGAGTAAAAGAAGAAAACTTGATATGAAGTAGAACCTGTATTCATCAAACATCCAGAAAGTACGAGCTCCGAGTCCAGAAGATAATCATGATCCCGGACTAGGGATCCGATTTTATGACATTGACAGTTAGGGACGATGAATAGGAAACAACATTTGCAGTGACATCGAAAATAATTGACCAATAGTTCATTTATGAATAAGTCAGTCATTCAGCCAGTCAGATGCAACGTAGAACTTCGTCCGTAAGCATATCAGTTCATGTTGCCATAACACATCAGCACAGAGATTTAATTGTCAATTCAAATCCAATAGTCGTAGAGGTACTGAAGGTATTAGAAGTAGTCGGAGAGGTTAGGATTAGAAGATGTTATTCAAGAAGTATGATTCAGTGAGATAAGTTTAGAAAGACAAAACTAGAGGTGTTGAAGAATCCAGAAGATTAGGATTTGAGAGAACACAAAGAATAAATGCACCGGCGCCATTGCAAACGGTTTCGAGCCATGTCATTCAGGGTCTCTAACCATCGATTATTATCATCTCGCGGACCCCAACCAGGTAGTCGACAATTACCGACATGACTCAGTCCACTTGTCAATGACTTCATGGCTTTGTGCCATATTTTGGTCTGGCCGCCCCTACCTTTCTTCCAACCTACTCCTACACTACAAAACAAAGCTCATCGAGGCAGTCGGTGGGTAGACATACGCAACACATGTCCCAACCATCTCAACTGATGAAATTTCACTACTTCATCTATTGATCTGCCATTCTTACTTAGCACCCGATTCCTAATAACAGCGTTGCTCACTCGGGTGTCCCACGATATACGAGCAATGCTTCGAAGACACCTATGATCGAAAACCAGTAACTTACGAATATCTTCTACTCTCACTGGCCATGTTTCACAGCCATCTAGGAGAACGGAGCGAACTACTGCGCAGTACACCCATCCTTTAGTCAGCAAACGGATATCTCGCCTACGCCATAAGTGACGTAGGTTGGCAAACGCCAGTCGGGCCTTCTGTATCCATGCTGAGATTTCGTCAGTTACCAGGTAATCAGCACTGATGAGACTCCCCAGATAAGTGGAGCGAGCGGTCAACACGCTCGACTACTACACTCCCTATTACAATTATAAAATAAAC